TGCAGGGAGTTTTGGCCTAACACACTCAGTGTGTGTTAGGCCAAACATTGGCCTAACACACACTGAGTGGCCAGATTATTATGATTTCTGAATGTATAGTAATCTGGCCACTCAGTGTATATCCTATAAATAAAAGGCTAATATGCAAATTGTCTCCTCCACCGGGAAGGAGTTCAGCCAACAGGCAGGCCGGCCAACTGCCCATGTCCCCACCCCCTAGCCAGGCTGGCCAGACCCCTCCATGCACAAATTCATGCACTGAGCAACTAATATATATATATTGAGTGGCCAGATTATTATGTATTCAGAGATCATCATAATTTGGCCACTCAGTGTATAAGGTTCGAGCTGAGAATCTGGAAAGGTCAGCCCACTGGCAATGGGGAGGCCTGCCTCGACCCGGGCCCTTACGGTCAGTCTGAGCTCAGGGTGTGCGTATGTTTGTCTGTGTTGTCTGGAGGTTTTGCCTCCACAGCTCCCTGAGCCAAAAGCATCTCTGGATGGCAGCCCTGGACGCCGAGCTAAGCCCTTCTGATCTCCCCAGGTCCACAAGGCAAGGTTCTGGCTCAGAAACAGGTTCGCACTCACTATGTCAAGTTTTCCCCCAAACCGCAAGGACACCGAGTGTTCATCAATAGTCTGCTCATGAGAAAGTGTCCCAAGCCTGTTTTCTCTCCTCACGAGTGACAGTCAAGTTTGTTTCTCACTGAATTTCAACCAACAGTGAAACTCCACCCGCCAGGTGCAGGAGCCCAGCTCCTGGCCAGCCAAGGTGCTTTTTTTCTCGGCTCCCCTGGCTTTCCTGGGTCCCCACTCTCCTCAATCCTCTAGTGATCCTCCCAGTCCGCCCCTCCCCTCCCCTCCCCTCCCTTCTTCACTCTCCTCCCCTCCCTTCCCCTCCCTTACCTCTCCCTGAAACCTGTGCAAGCACAACACGGGGCTTGTGAGTTAGACCAACAGGTCCAGGAAATGTAAACTTCGTGGGTTCTCTTGGCAAAAACCAGGCCATGCCCTGTGTGTTTCTGCCTTTAGGAAAACAGAGGACCACAGAGAGACAGAGCTTGGGGGAGAGGGGAGAAGGCTCCCTTGTGCCTTGTTTATCCCGGTGTTACAAGGTCAAGGGTGAATCATACAGGCCGAGCCAGAAGCCTGGCATGCTCCTGGGCCGGTCATCTTTTTTCATTGCTGGAAGCCCTCACGGACCTTCTTTTCTCTCTCTCTCTCTCTCTCTCTGGCCTTGGCTACACAGCCTTTAAAAATAGTAATTTCGAAAAAGACAACCAGACAAGCCAGAAATAACCACTGGCCCGATGAAGCTCTGCACAAATATGGCAATATTGACAGGGAAAGTCTGAATTCGGCTCCGGTCTCATGTTTTATTCTGTAAAGGAAGTCAGGTCCAAAGGATGAAGAAAAATAGAAACGGGAGGTAATTTAAGGAAACAAAAGGAAAGCTTTAGAAAGGACAGAGAAAGCAGAGGAACCCTCTGAGGGAAGAACCCTTGGGCAGGGCGAGCAGAGGTTTAGACGCCCCGGGCGGAAGCACAGACCCTGTGTAGATGTTGGAGTGAGGCCTGCCTGGTTTTCAGTCTTGTTTCTGCTTCTCTCTGGCTGTGTGACGCAGGCAAATCACGGGACCTTCCTGTGTGCCTCAGTTTCCCCATTTGTACAGTGGAAGAAGCCGTTTCTACTTGCGAAGATCAAAGGAGAAGTCAACGGTGTAAGGCCCGTCTCCTAGAAAGGGCCCAGGAGGCCCAGGGAGGGTGGGGATGGTCTTGGTTTTGGCTGTGGTGGTGGTTCCTGGGGTCGCACACCTGTGACAGCTCAGAGGCTTCTGTGCTTTCAATGGGTTCCGTCCACTGGGTGCCAATGACACCTGAGCAGAGCTGTTCTAGAACAGGACAGCCAAGTCCCAGGACAGAGATGGTCTGGGCGCGTCTGGCCTGGCTGATGGCCACTCTCTTCTCGGGGCCTCACCGGGGAGGGTGCCCCGTCTCCACAGCTGCCACAGACCTGTTGGTGGGGTTGGTCGGGTGAGGTGTCACTCACATTTTTGACATTACAGACTAGGAAAGCGCAAACAGAAGCCATGGGGCTTGGGCTGGAAGATCGTAAAGGCTTTTCGGAGCCTTTGTCAGGGCGAGTTTTGAAGGAATACTAACCCAGCGAAAGGAGAAGTTGCCAGTTAAGGAAGTCCTCAGCCACTTAGGTCAATGGTCAAGGCTAAAAAAGTCCCACCTGAGGCTGGACCTTGATGTTGGGGTGGACATACAAGCCCGTGCTGTGTGGCTGAGGCCCCTCCTTCACAATCCACTCAACCACCACCCAGGTGTGGGTGCCCCTATGCGTTTGTTCCTGCTCATCATTCTAAAGTCTACATTTCAGCAAGCTCACCCAGGCAGGCTCCGCCTGATTAATGGGTTTTTGTAAAACCCGTGCTTCACTGAACTGATGGAGCAGCCCAGGTCTCCACGGTAGTGGGTGCTGTTGGTGTCCTGCTCCGTCCCCTCCCCCAGGCCAGTGCGCCCTCCACGGTCTGCATGAGAGTGAAAGGAGAGAACGAACACTCATTGAGCCCACACCAGTTCCCAGGCCCTGTTCTAAGTGATGGACTTGCAGGAAGCCCCTGGGGGTGGCAGTAGGTGAAAATCAGTATCCATGCTTTCATCTGAGCACAGTAAGGCTCAGGGAAGTCAAGGAAATTGTTCAGAGTCCCCTTCCCTTCCGAGCCTTCCCGTTGTCATGGAAATAACCTTAAGTCTCTCGCATCTCATAAAGGGAACAAAACAAACTCTCACGACCTCTTGGGGCCCTCGGTCCTCTTCCAGGTGCAATATTTGTCTCTTTCCTAGTTCTCTTCATGGACGGCAGACATTCCAGAATGGGTTCTCTGCCCTTCCCTTGGCTCTCTTCCCTACTCTACCCGGTTCCTGTACTCACCACAGTGCACCCTGCTCCCCACACACTCACGGAAAGTACGAGGCCACCTGGACCCTCTCAGGCTGTGAAGCCAAAGGTCATTGAGCACCACTTCTGCCTGCAAACACACACTTCCCTTAAAAATGTCGCCTTCTGTGACCCCTCCCCTCTCTTCTACTTCATCATCTGCTGCTTTTCTGTCTCCTTTGAGGCAGCTGAGTACTAGAGTTTTCTTTAGGGTTATGGCACTTTTGCCCAACTTTGCATACACAACAACGAGGACTCTGCCAAGCGAAGGGCTGTAGGGTGGGTGAATGAAGGAATAGCCCATCGGCCAGTACCAGGGATGTTGTTAACCAAACCCAGGTGAGTCCAACTGCAAAGCTCTTGTTGGACCCACTCTCCCAAGGTGACTTTTCTCCAATTTCAAACAGTTTCCTAGTCAAACAAGGTGATGTCCCCTGGAAACAATGCATGCAAAATGGAGTGAAATACCTGGTGATGATATTCTTGTCTCACTCACACTTCTTATAATGACTCGGGAGACGTTAACTGTTAAACCTACCGAGTATTGAAAACTGTAACGGTCTGTGTACTCAGCCAAGGGTAGAAACCAAGATTCCTGCCCAGCAGCTGAAAGCTCTAACAACTCCGCTTTGCAGTGAGAAAATAAACACCGTTTCAGACACACAAACCCGCATTTAGTTCTCGCTCTGCCGGGGCCAGTAAACATGTCATTTGGCCGGTAGGTGTGGCTCAGGGGAAGGTGTGGCTTCGGGGGCCTGACCAGAAGAGAGCCAGCTCATGAACCATCGGTGGGATGAGTGTGGGTGCGCTTTGAGGTGATGCAACAAACAGGAACTCAGGCCGGGCCTGGCACCTGGTTTTCTGACCAGGTGAAGGGTCCGAACTGCCGAGGAGCTCCTGCCTGCCACGGAGGAAAGTGCTAGAAGATCGCTCAACTCGTGCTTCTCGAACTCATCCCAGTCCGTATCCTTTTGTTATCGGTACACAACGAGGCAAGTACAAGGTACCCCGAGAGGAAGTTTCTAGAGCCTTTTTAAAACAACATGACAGGCAAGTTTTATTCTAATTTAACCAAAACATGGAGCTCATATTTTGAATATCTTTCTTTAATTTAGTTTTATAGTATTTCATTTTTATGATTTCATTTTACTAGAGTATCAGTCTGCCCATGACTAGGGGGGGGGGGAAATTTAATGGTCCACAGAAAATAAGAGAAGTAGTAAAGTAGACAAGAGTAATAAAAAAAAATTATTCATTCAGAGACACTTCAAGAGGAAAAAGCCATGGGAGAGAATATTGGCAACTCATTCATTTAAGAAGGTTTTATGTAAAAAAAAGGAACCCTACATGATGTGAATAACCATTTCAACTCAATGTGATCAGGTTTTGGAAGTTCAGTGCCCACCAGCAGCCTTTTTCAGTCTTACCTACATATTTGGACTCACATGCCTGCCACGACCTGCGGGCCAGGTGGTAAGTAGCCCAAGGCTGAAGGGCAGTGCAGGCAATTCTTGTCACGGAGGGCAGTCCACACAGCAGTCCTGGAGGGATCCTCCCTGCTCCAGCCCTGACACCCCTGGGACTGCTCCAGGGCCAGGGAATAGGCCCTGCATGCAGGGCTGTGGATCCCCCTGGCTTCCAAACCTCGTGCCCCTAGGAGCCAGAAGCTCTTCTCAGGGTCCCCACAAGGTCACACCCCGTCCCAAGAACCACCGCCCTCAGGGAAGCCTCAGCTTGGGCTCCTCTCCTGCGGTCATGACAGTCCTCCCGGCCCGGTCCTCCCAACAGGCCTCCGTTGACCATAAGGTTGTTGCTTGGAATCCCAGCTGGCATCCCATCGGATGGGGTTCCCAGGAAAATAAGCCAGAAAGTCAACCCAAGGTCAACCCTGTCCTTAGGGAAGAAGAGAGGGCTTTATCTCCCAGGATCCCCCAGCACTGAAGAGGAGGAGCCCAGGTGTGGCTGGAAATGCTGCAGGAACAGCCCCGGGGCCACGCCACCGACGTGCTCGCCAGCCTGGGCAGGTGCAGGCGGGGCGGGGCGGGGCGGCTTACCTTTCCCGCAGGCCTGCACCAGGCCGTACCACTCCCCGCAGCTGTTGCACAGCAAGGTGAAGGCGCTCTCGCGGTGGCCGGTGACGTGGCCCGGGGCGCACACGTACAGCAGCTCATCCCCCATCTCCAGGCCTGTGCGGCCCTGCAGGATGGTGTGTGGGAACGAAGGCGGGTCTCCGCAAGGCTTCTCTGGGAAGGAGGGGTTACAGTTAGCGTCCCCAAACTAGGCAGACCTTGTGCGATTTGGGAGAAAACAAACATAAAAGACAACTCTCCCCCTCCCCCGGGGGTAACGGGGTGACGGGGGGGGGGGGGGGGGGGCGGGTAGCTGGTTCCCCTACATTCTGGCATCCCAGGGCCTGGGAAGAACTCCAGGCAAAGACGAGGCACTCACAAATGTGTGTTGAGCCGGGACCGGTTTGACTCAATGGATAGAGCATCGGCTTGGGGACTAAAGGGCCCCGGGTTCGATTCCGGTCAAGGTCATGTACCTTGGTTGCGGGCATATCCCCAGTAGGGGGTGTGCAAGAGGCAGCTGATCGACGACTCTCTCTCATTGATGTTTCTAACTCTCTAACTCTCTCCCTTCTTCTCTGTACAAAAATCAATAAAATATATTTTTTTAAAAAATGTTTGTTGAGCCAAAGCCAGTTTGGCTCAGCGGTAGAGCGTCGGTCTGCGGACTGAGAGGTCCCAGGTTCGATTCCGGTCAAGGGCATGTACATTGGTTGCGGGCACATCCCCGGTAGGGGGTGTGCAAGAGGCAGCTGGTTGATGTTTCTCTCTCATCAACATTTCTAGCTCTCTATCTCTCTCCCTTCCTCTCTGTAAAATATCAAAAAAAAAAAAAAGTTTGTTGAATGAATAATTGTGTTTTTAAAATAGGCATGGTCTCAGTAAACATACATGTATTTTACTGTTCCAGGCAACATTCCCCTGTAATGTAATGTCTCCTTGTAAAGGAGGAACCAGAGACCAGCAAGCACCCCCCCCCCCTTTTTTTATTGACTTCAGAGAGGAAGGGAGAGGGAGAGGGAGAGAGAGAAATGTCAATGATGATTGAGATCACCGATTGGCTGCCTCCTGCAGGCCCCACAGTGGGGATCGTGCCCACAAACCAGGCATGTGCCCTTGACCAGAATTGAACCCTGGAACCCTTCAGTCCGCAGGCCGACGCTCTATCCATGGAACCAAACTGGCAAGGGCCAAGCTCTCCTTTTTGGCCTTATTTACGTAAGTGAGCAGGTTCTCGTTGTCAAAAGCTAAAATGTTACAGACTATAGGGTACTCTCTCGTCCTCCAACCTCAGCCCTGATGGCAACACTGGAATCAGTTGGTATATACAAATACAGACACACACACACACACACACACACACACACACACACACACAGATGGATAGATAGATATAGTTGTGTGTTTGGGGGGGGGTTTAACATGAATGGGATCATATATGTGTTACTGAGAGCATACATTTTTTTAAAAACAAACTATTATTAGAGCACTTTTAGGTTCCCAGCAAAATTGAACAGAAAGTACAGATGGTTCCTATGTCACTACCCCTACACACGCACAGCCTCACCTGCTATCAACATCCCATACTGTGACACAATTGTTACAACTGGCGAACCTACATCATTATCGCCTAATAGCCAGCTTACATTTGGGTTCACTCTGTGGGGGAGCCTTACTCTGGGATCTGAAGATGGAGAAGAGTCCCCACCTGGACCTGGAACTTCTTCCGATGCCTGCCCTCCAGCTGGCCCCGGGGTCAGTCTTGAGGGACACAGCCCATGACTCCTTTTTTTTTAAAAAATAAATATATTTTATTGATTTTTTTACAGAGAGGAAGGGAGAGGGATAGAAAGTCAGACACATCGATGAGAGAGAAGCATCCATCAGCCGCCTCTTGCACACCCCCTATCGGGGATGTGCCTCCAGCCAAGGTACATGCCCTTGACTGGAATAGAACCTGGGACCCTTGAGTCCACAGGCTCTATCCACTGAGCCAAACTGGTTTCGGCTTCATGGCTCCTTTTAACTTCCTGCCCTAGTTCTCCCGTGAGGTTTTCACTGGCGTGAATGCAATCAATCTGCCAAGCTCAGGGGGAGCCCACGTGGCAGGCCTTGCAAACTCGGTGACCAAAGGTAACCACACAGGATGTTCTGATCATAAACCCCTAACTAGGCAGGCCATGGAGGGCGGTCACGTCCCAGGCCCACAGCTTCCTCAGCAAAGGCCGGTCTTTACCTTACGTGAGCCCTGTGCATTGCTCTTATGCAACCAGGGTAACATACCTTTGAAATGTCAACTAGTTTTCTTTTCTCGGCCCCTTTGAGGCACAGCCACAGGCATCAGAACACAAGGCCACCAGATCACAGAACCCCTCACGATGAGCATGTTCCCAGCATGCCATCTCCATGTGCTGTACATGTTCATTATCAACCATGCTGAACCCTCCCGTGTGAAAGAAGTATGTGCTTCTCCATTCTGCCTTTTATCCACTTCTAGAGATTTCTCCGGTTGGCTTTCTCCCGCCCTCTTAATCTACCGCTGAGGAATTTCTCACGATTCTCTTTGTGTCTCCTCCTTTGATTCTAATGTGTCAAATAAGCAGCTATTCTCCTGAGCATTTTCTCCATCCATTGAGATCTTGCTCTGCAGCATTATCCTCAACGATTTGGCTCAAATAAACTCTTACAAACGTTTCTATAGGATGGATATTCTTTCATTGGCACTAGTGTATATATTCTTTAATTTTTGTTTCCTCTTAGAAATGAATGTAGACTGGTTTGTAGTTAGACTTGTGAATTGCTTTTAAAAAAATCTGTGGCTGCCCTGACCAGTTTGGCTCAGTGGATAGAGTGTCAGCCTGCAGACTGAAGAGTCCGAGGTTTGATTCCTGTCAGGGGCATGTACCTTGGTTGCGGGCACATTACCCCAGTAGGGGATGTGCAGGAGGCAGCTGGTCAATGTTTCTCTATCATCGATGTTTCTAATTCTCTATCCCTCACCTTTCCTCTCTGTAAAAAAAAAATCAATAAAATTTATATTTTAAAAAAATCTGTGGCTGGTTGTGAGGCAGCCACTAAGGGACTCACCCCAGGCTGCAGCCAGTGAGGGAATCCAGAAGGGGAGGAGGGAGGCCCAAGCCTTCCTCCTTCCACACCCAGCTCAGGCGAGACCCTTGGCTCAGAGATCCAGAGGACAGATGTAAACACAGTCCCATCGTGTGAAATCACATGTTTGTTGATGTTAATTGAGGAAAGAGGTTAATGGTTACAGAGTTGGGGCCTGAGCTAAGCAGGTCAGACTTCCAGCTTCCAAGCGGCCAGTGGGCATTCTCTAGTAGTTACAGATAGAATCCATCCCATTTGAAACATAAAAAATATCTTACTGGGTAAGCTTCAAATCCCACCCCCTCCTCAACCCCCATTAAGCATGATGTCAGCTGTAGTTCTTGTTTGTTTGTGTGTTTTGGTAAATATTCTTTATCAAGTTGAAGAAGATGATAACTTCTATTCCTAGTTGTCTGTGAGTTTTATCATAACAGATGTTGGGTTTTGTCAAATGCTTTTTCTGCATCAATCCATCTGCTCATGTGCTTCTTTGTCCTTAGCACGTTTATGTGATGGATTACATCAATTGATTTTTATTGATTTTTTAAATATATTTTATTGATTTTATACAGAGAGGAAGGGAGAGAGATAGAGAGTTAGAAACATCGTTGAGAGAGAGTCATCGATCAGCCGCCTCTTGCACACCCCTTACTGGGGATATGCCCGCAACCAAGGTACATGCCCTTGACCGGAATCGAACCCGGAACCCTTCAGTCCCCAAGCTGACGCTCTATCCCTTGAGCCAAACCAGTCCCAGCCATCAATTGATTTTTAAAAATATATATATATTTATTATTGATTTTTTACAGAGAGGAAGAGAGAGGGATAGAGAGTTAGAAACATTGATGAGAGAGAATCACGGATCAGCTGCCTCTTGCACACCCCCTACTGGGGATGTGCCCGCAGTCAAGGTACATGCCCTTGACCAGAATCGAACCTGGGACTTTTCAGTCCGCAGACCGACCCTCTATCCACTAAGCCAAACTGTTCTCAGCTACATCAGTAGATTTTTTAAAATGTTGAACCAGCCTTACACACCTTGGTTAAGTCCCACTCGGTTGTGGTCTGTACATTTTTTTTTTTATATGGTTGGATTTAAATTGTTAATATTTCGTTGAAGATTTTTGTATCTATGCTAACTTGTATTGGTCTGTAGTTTTCTTATAATGTCTTTCTCTCACTTTGAGTTAGGAAGTGTTCCCTCTGCTTCCAATTTCTGGAAGAGATTGCAGAGAAATGGTGTAATTTCTTCCTTATATATTCGGTAGAATTCACCAGTGAACCCATTCTGATTTGGAAGGTTATTAATTATTGATTCAATGTCTTTCCTTCCAGGCTAGGCCAGAAACTCGAAGTCATTTTCCCTCTAATATTTTAGCGGCCTTTCCACATGAGAACTACAAACTACTTCAGTCTTTTGAAAGGCTACATTATCGCACACTGTTATGTAATCATGACACTGACATTTATGTTGGTTCCAAGTTTTCACTGTTATAAACAATGCCACCGCAGGCAGCTCAGATGGGCATTTTTTGTACATATCCTGTTTCATAAGGAAAAACTTCTAGAACTGGAATTGCTGCATCAAAGGGACGCACTGAGACCTTTTTTGATAAAGGAAATAATATTAAGTTCAAATTTCCTCTTCTGGCTTTCATCTGTTGGGAAGGAAAGCCTTTAGTCCTTATGCAGTCGAGTTACCTAAGCAGCATATTGCTTGCAGGAAGATGTGCTAAGAAAAGATGAAAATAGAAAATGGGACTCAAGTGCTTCAAGCCACCTGATTGGCCTCCCAGCTTGTGGTTCGGGTGGCGTTTTCTCAGAGAGCCATTGCTCTGCGTGTCCTTTAACTGGAGAGATTTTGAATGAAGAAGGGTGTGGCTGTGCTTTAGGAAGTCAGCACAAAAGGTTGTGTTTAATCTGCCTTCTTGACTATCGCCCAGGAGATCACCTATTTATCCCCTCCACGTGGCAAGGAGGAACGGGCAGCCACCTGGACCTTGTCACAAAGCCGGGGGCACCCCACTGAGCAGAGACGTAGGGCATTCTGAGGAGAACGGACCAAGGTC